CATCCTTACAGGTGGCTTGAGGAGCCAGGGAAGGGGCTGGGAGCCCAGGGATGAGGTGATGACAGGGGCTGGCATCCAGGGGGCACTGAATCACATTCTAATTGTATTTTTTAATTTTTGTTTATTTTTATTTCACATGTATGCGTATATTGCCTGCATGTGTGTGCAATGCCAATTGAGGTCAGAAGAGGTTGTCAGATCCCCTGGAGCTGGAGTTACAGTTTTCAGCTGTCATGTGGGTGCTGAGATTCAAACCCAGGTCTTCTGCAAGAACAGGCAGTGCTCTTAACTGCTGAGCCTTCTCTCCAGCCTCCTGACAGTGTTTTGTTGTTTTTAATATTATTCTTATTTTACGTATATGGGTGTTTTGCCTGCATGTATGTAAGGGCATCCCTGTCATGCAGTGCTCACGGAGATCAGAAGAAGGCATCAGATCTCCTGGAACTGGAGTTACGGAGGGTTGTTAGCTGCCATGTGGGTGCTGGGAACCCGATCCAGGTCCTCTACAAGAGCAGCCAGTGCTCTTAACCACTGAGCCATCTCTCCAGCTCCCTGATTGTATCTTAAGAGTAGGCGGAAACATGAGGGACAGACACAGCCTGGGTGACTTGAGCCTCTGGAAAGTGGAGCTGCCTGGAGTGTGAGCCACTGTGGGCAGGACAGCTGTCTGGGGAAAGGGAGCTGGGTTTCATACCAGTCCCAGCCAAGTGGCCTGTTTGTGCAGATTTCTAATTTCATTCATCCAGACAAGTCACCTGGCCTTGACTGACAAATTAGAAGCCAGGGCCAACAGATGACCATGGCCACCTCTACTGTGATTCTGGTGACCCACTTTTCTAGAACCAGACTGGGGTCATGGGATCCTCATGGTCTCAAAAGCACCCTCCAAACTGCAATTTCCCCTGCAGCCAGCAGGTGACACCAGCTCCTAGACAGATGTGTTTTGAGGGTTCATGGGGGTGGGGCTCTGCTGCTCATTGTAGGATATTAGGGAGATCTTGGCCCACTGCTCCAGGCCTGCAGCACCTCTCCTTCCCTACATAAGGGACATGGCTGAATATCCCTTGCTGGGTTGACTGTGTAAAATTACTGCTGCTGGGCACCTGCCCTGCCTCAGTCACTGAGTATCTCTGTGCCCGGGCCGGGGGTAAAGAGGGGTGCATCACCTGTCCTGTGAGGCTCACATGCAGAGGACCTGGCAGAAACAGGAGTTCCTCCCAGGTTTATGTCCTCTCCTCAGACACCCTCTACCCAGACACCTGATGGTTTACAGCAACCTCATAGGGCACCGGTCTGTTTGGTAATTTATTACCTGCTCTGTCATGCCAGAGATAAAGCCCTGCCTTGGGGCAGTCCTCCTTAGACAGTCAGCTGCTTGGGAGGGCAAGTGCCTCAGTGGGCCTGCCGCGGGAGTGATGGGTACCAACTCAACTGCTGGACAAGAGCCTTGTCGCAAGCCGGGCAGTTTAGACAGCCCTGGGGAGAGACCTGTGTGGACTCTGTCCCAGCTCCTTCATCTCCTGGACTCTCTCAAGGCGGCCTAGTCACAGAAGTGCATATGGCAGGAGGTGCACATGTGAGCACTGTACTGCATGCTGTGTGCAGTGGAAACAACCTCCATGACCATCAGGAGGGAAATGGCTGGGTTGGAGAGTGCTTGCTGCTCTTTCAGAGGACCCAAGTTCAGTTCCCAGCACCCACATCAAACTGCTCACAACTACCTATAACTCCGACTCCAGGGGATCCAATAACCCTCTTCTGGCAGCTGTGGGCATTTGCATGCACATGGCTTACTTATATATATGTACATATGTATACATATATATGTGTATATATATAAATAAAAAATAAATGTTAAGGGGCTGGAGAAATGGCTTAGTGGTTAAGAGCACTGACTGCTCTTGCAGAGGACCCAGGTTTGATTCCCAGCACCCACATGATGGTTAATAACCATCCGTAACTCCAGTTCCAGGGGATCCAGCACCCTCTTCTGACTTCCTCAGGTATTGCATGGCATGGGTATACTTTCATGTAGGCAATACACTCATACACATAAAATTTTTTTAAATCTTAAAAAGGAGGCGAGTGGCTAAATAAACTACTTATGTCCAATAGTAGATGACTTAATAGCCACCAAAGGAATAAGACACATTTCACTCAACAAACATTTATGGAGCACTTTGTACCTGTAGGATGATTTTTTTTTTTTTTTTTTTTTTAAGATAGGTTTTTCCTTTGTACCCCTGACGGTTTTGGAATTAAGACACCCCCCGCCCTCTCTCTCCCATAAATTTATTTGTTATTTGTTTTTTAAGATAGGTTCTTACTATGTAGCCCTGACTGGCTTGGAATTCAGAGACCCACCTGCCTCTGTCTCCTAATAACTGGGATTAAAGGTGTGTGCCACCATGCCCAATTTTATCAGTGGCTGGGGATGGAATCCAGAGCCTCATACACGTTAGCAGTGTATCCCATCCTAGGATGAGTTCTTTTATTGTTCTTTTGAGATAGGGTCTCCATGTACCCCGAGATGGACTGGAACTATGTAGACCAGGCTGTCCTCAATCTCATAGAGATCCATTTCGCTCTGCCTCCCAAGTGCTGGTATTAAAGGTATGCACCACCATGTCCAGTCTCAGGATGAGTTCTTGACAGGATGAGTTCTTGAGGGAGTAGGGAACAAAGGCACTACCTCCAGTGAATAGTGTGTCAGTGCACTGATGTTCATGATTCAAGCCACACCAGCCAGCAGTTAGAAGTAGAGTGAGCAATCTTGGGAAGCAAAGTAGAGCAGAGTTAAATTCCAGCCTGAGCACTCATGGATGGCTCTCAAGGGAGCTAACGTGATCTTTACACAGAGGGCTTTGACAGAGTAAGATAGTGGACCAAATGTTCGCTGGACATGGTGGTACACGTCTTTAATCCCAGCACTCAGGAGGCAGTCAGGTGAATCTCTGTGAGCTTGAGGCCAGCCTGGTCTACAAAGCAAGTCTGAAGCCAGCTGGGGCTACAGGGAGACCCTGTCTCATTCCCTCCCCCAAAATTATAACATTACCCCCCCATAATACATGTATGTAGACATCAAAGTATTCAAGGGAAGATTTAAAACATTTTCCACAAACATAGACTCCTTTTTTGTCTTTCTAATTCCTTTTAAGCTATGCCTAAAAAAGCTATTAAGAGCCCACATGCAAAAAAGCAGGCCTTCAGAGTACGTGGGCAATGCCCCGCAGCGCAGCCCCGCAGCTGAGCCACTCACTCTCTGGCTTCCTGTGACTTCTGACATCTGGTGACATTTTTGTTGGCACCTACGGGTAGAAGCCAGTGCTGTTGAACACCCTACACCAGGCAGAGCAGCTTCCCATGCCCCACCATCGGTCAGTTCTATGGGGAAGAGAACCAGGTCAAGGTCAAATGTGAAATTAAGAAGCACTATTCCACAGCCAAGGGGACAATGTGGCCATGTGTATAGTGTGCTCTGAACACACCAGGCCCTTAGGGAGTGGGAACTGCTATGTTTATTCCAGGACAGCCCCAGGTTGAGGCCATTCTGGTTGAAGGAAGCTCAGACTGGAGGGACCCTGGGTCCAGATAGCAGCACCTGTCACAGGAGTTATGCCTGCCAGGGAGATGGCCCAATTCCTCCTGTGGGTGATGAGCTTTCCGTGTCCATTCAAGCACTCCTCAGAGGACAGTCCCAGTGGTCCGCAGTTCTCAGGACTCTCCTGTTGGACAGCCAGACTCCAAACCCCACAGGCTCCTCCAGCAGAGGACCCACCGTCCATCACTGCTGTGACTTTCCTCATCTTCACTTTGGTATCTTCTGTTACCAGGTCAACAAGGCAGCCCTGGTCACACTGCCAAGGCTGCCCACTGCCAACACGATGTTCTCCCCCCTTCATACTGAGTCACTGTCACATCCTGTGTCACCATGTACAGCCCTGACTGCTGAAAACTGTTCCTTCACCCTCAGGCTGTGACCAGCCCCCTTCCCTGTTCCTCAGGCTGCTTACCTCCTGCAGCCAGCTCCCCAGCCCCACTTGCTGTGGATGGACGCCAGCCTCACTGCACTGTCACAGACAGCTGGTTTTGAGAGGTCACTGTCCTTCTAATTTTGCAGCATCATGTTCCCAGCACCCAGCAGAACTATCTACTCTTATTGCAAAGAAATATTGGGGGTGTAGCTCAGCTGGAAGAGAGCTTGTCTAGCATGCCCAAAGCCCTGGCTTCCATCCCTAGCCCCACATAAACTAAGCATGGTGGTAGTGGTAAACATTCAATCATGAAAGCTGATTATCATTTGTGAGCAGAAGCAGGCAGAAAGCAACACCAGACTGGCCTCAGAACCTTCTAGAACCAAATCCCATCAAGCCTCACTGTCTCTCCATTTCCCTGGTATCATATGGGAGAGAATCTTGAAAAGCGCAGAGTGTGGAAGCCCCCTCACCCCGCTCCCCCTGCCCGCCAGAGGAAAGGCGGATAACCCAGACAGAGACAACCACGGCAGTTTGGTTCTTGAATATGTATTTTTTTACTGAAAAAATCATTCATAAATTAACATACAAAAATGTACAAACACATGAGTGAATAATGTAATGACAAAGGACTATTTCTGTGAAAAGTGTTTTTTTTTAAAACATCTTTAGATTTCAGTGCAAAAATGTACCCCTGGCACCTCTTAAAACAAAGAGCAAGCTCAAAAGGGCAAAGAAAGGGACAAAAACAAGCTATGCTCCGCTGGCGGGGAGTGGACACCAGCAGTCAGCATGCGGCTGCCACTCTGCTGCTGACGTCTGAGGAAGGGATGTGCAGACAAGACCCCTGTTGTAGCAAAATCCACGTTTTCATAAATACCTCCCCCGAAAGACGCCAGTGTGTAGCGGTACCTTCCCCACACATGGCAGTCAAGGGCAAAGTTGATTTAAGGGGTCACCTATCAGTAGCCTTAAAGAATTTCAGCTGCCAAAATATGCACAAGGTCACCTTTGGTTGGTTCGTTCTTTTTTTTTTTTGTCTCTACCATGTGGCCTGGCAGTATGGTCTAGACTTTGACATTTCCCATTCGGCATTTAACTTGGTGGATAAAGGAGGCACAGTGAACACTTAAGAGTCCACACTGTAAAACAAACTTGGACATGATTCCAAGAAAATCTAAGTGACCCTACTTTAAGCAGTAAAAAGAGACCTTCTGTCCTCAAATCATCGTTTTATTCTTTAAGTATTAGCCTCTGCACCCTGTGGCAATTATGAGAACGCAGAGCCTCCAAGGGGAGACTTGCTGACAGTGTCCTGAAATCCCTCCAAAGCACACAGGGTCCTGTCACAGAAAGCAGCTCCCAGCCTTCCGTGACACGGAGGATGAGTAGAGCATGGGCCAAGCATGAGGCCGAGCCCTGCAGTTCTATTCCCAGCACTGCAGAAACAGTAACAAGAGAGAAGGTAAGAGGGCCGAGACTGGGCTAGGGGACAGTCCTTATTGCTCTGTGTACCATAGGACAAGGGCAAGTCAGATGCACTCCGGCGTGAGGCTCCTTGCCCAGCATTTACACACAGATACAGCTCACCAGCATTCTCAAGGGCAGCCACCTGCTCTCTCATACAAGCCGATAAGCACTCTGCAAAGCAACTTGTTTCCTAGATACCACTCTATTATTCAAAAACAACAAAAACACAAGCAGAAAAACAAGAGACCTGGCCAATCACTCCCACGGTTTGTGGGGATCATAAGTCCATGGAACCAACTTGTGCGACGCAAAAACCCCAACCCCGGCATATATACAACCCTCCACATCCCTGTAGAACCACAAACATCAAGGGCGTGGAAGGTGAAAGGCAATAACAAGAACATGGTCCTCCAGAAAGCTCTCCTCACAATGCACACAGACGCACTTGCTCCTGAATGGGAGGGACGGCAGAAGAGGATGAACACAGACCGGGACTTTGGCTCTGGAAAGAGGCACCTCTGCCAGTTTACCTGTCAAACCCCTGGTGTGCTCTCACCTGGACCCCAGATGACACACAGCACCCAAGTGCCACCTGCTTCCTGGCTCAAGTCTTCCAGTAAATTGTTTGTTAGCACAACACGGAACAGAGTGAAGGAAATGGCATCTTTCCAGACCAAACGGAAACGGGAATCACTGAAGGCCAGTGGCCGTGCAGGCACAGCTTTCAGAAGCTGGCCAAGTTCCAAAGAAGAAAGAAGTTGGGGAGAACCACCCAATAGCCCCTCTGTGAGGTGTAAGGATAAAAAGCCAAGTCCAGAGAGTAGGAGCGCATGCACAGTGAACCCAAGGGTCTTGCCGTGTACTGCAGATCAGCCTGGAACTAGCTATGTAGCCCACGCTGGCTTCAACCTGCCTATCCTGCCTCTGTTTCCCATGCTGGGTTGACAGGCTGCACCACATGCCACCTGCAAGGGTCTGTGAGAGAGGAGAGCAGTGTGCCTCACCAGGAGCTCCCCTTTAGCTGCTGAGGTCCTGGGAGGAGAGAAACCACAGTGAGGGACTGAACAAGATTTCTGGGAGGGGAAGGGGTGTTCTCTGTTAGCCCGTGACATGCCCTGAATCTACTCCCTTCCAAAGTGACAGCAATTTGGGAAGGACATTCTTGGACAGCACTTAACCGAGCTCTTGTTTGCCACCCCAGTAAATGATCTGATGGATTAAGTAAGTCCTCACTTTGAAGGGAGCCAGCTATAAAATTAAATTTTAGAAAGGCATTCTACATGGCTTATTTACAACTGTACTTCTTCAAGAAGTGACTGTTCTGTGTCTAGTCCCCCAAACCCCTCCCCTCCACCCTCAGTCCCCACCCAAAGCAGGTAATTTTTTTCAAAATAGGAAACCAGAGTACACCAGAGCTGCTAAGGATGGTGTGGCGGTCTGCCTGCTTCTGGCCAGCGTGGCCGGGCCGGGGCGTCCTCTGGGCTCCACCGGCAATCTGTTCACAGGGGCATACAGCTCAGCTTGTCTGGGGTTCTGGAGGTTGTGACTGAGACAGGATCTTGGGGTAGGGACAGAAGAGCAGCAGGACAGACATCTGTCTTGTGGAATAGAAGCCAGTGCTGATGATGGTGTCCCCGAGCTGCCTGTCTCAGTGGGCCCTACAGCAAAAGGCGTTTGTGCGTGTGCTCTGTCACAGTTTCCTGGAAGCCGGTGGTCCTGCGTTCCTCTCTTCCTGTCCTCATCCTGTGTTGACCCCCAGGCTGGCGCATCAGGGCGCCTCCGAGGGGGTGATGGGTAAGTGAACACGGCTTCTCTCTGCATCTCAGTACTCAGTCACCTGAGCCAGCTCGGGTGTCAAGTTGACAGTTATGTTCTTATACAAAGCGTCGTATGTGATATTTGCAAAGTAGTTCAGGTTGTTGAGACCGTCCAGCACTTGCCTCTCCTTTGATTTCCTCAGCAGAGCATACCTGGAAAGCCAAGGACAAAGTGGGGCTCAGAGCCAGGACCCCAGCTCCACAGAGCCAGAGCAGGCCAGCCTTACAACCGTACCTCATTTAACGACCCCCCTAGTCCCAAGTAGAAACCAAACCTTGGTTATGTCCAGTCACAGCACGGGGATGCCCAGGAGACTATACACAGACCAGAACACCAAAGGTCTCCCTTGTCACTCCTAGTCACCTCCTAGCCCTGGGGCTGGGTGACTCCTGTTCACGTGGCCTGTCTCTTAACTCCTCTAGCCTCCAGAAGATCTAACTACCTAATGTCACCAGTGGTGTCACACTGCTAATCAGAACACACACACCTGTGATGCTCAATCACACAAGCATAGTGGTGTGACCTGAGATCCCAGCACTTAGGAGGCCAAAAGCAGGACAGAAAGTTGGAGGCCAGGCTGGACTATGGAACAACTCTGCTTCAAACAGTCAAAACAAAAACAGAACAGCCCTAAAGAAGGTCAGGGGAGGGACTGTGTTCAAGCCACCTGAAGGACATCTGCATAAGGAGTTAATAAAAGGGTACCAACCTTCCCAGAAACTGCACCTCTCCTCGATGGTGGTGAGGAATAGACTTGTATTTCCCTGTGTCTCCTTCGGGCCGGCTCACAGAATAGCCTGCATTATGTACTCTGAAAACCAAAGGGACGGCTATAAGACAGGCCCCATGCTGCTGACCTGAGGCCACCAAACTAAAGACACCCAACAAGCCTCCCTGGCGACAATGCCCAACAAACACCTCCTCACGCAACTTGTAACTGACCCACTGGCATTTAAAATTCAATCAACATGTCTTTCCTGTGTGTGGGTACACGTGTGTGTATGCGTGTGCATATGCATGTGTAGAGGCTAGATATCACCATGAATGTTATTCCTTGGGCACCCTGCACCTTTTCTTGTTGAAGATAGGGCTCTCTCATTAGCCTAGAGCTCACCAGGCAGGCTAGGCTAACTGGCCAGTGAGCCTGAGGGATCTGTCTATCTCCACCTCCCTAGCGCCTGGGATTACAGACATGAGACATCATGTCCAGCTTTCATTTTTTAAAAATATATATGTATTTTATTTCTTGTTTTAATTTTTTAAAATTTTATTTATGGGACTGGAGAGATGGCTCAGCGGTTAAGAGCACTGACTCCTCTTACAGAGGACCCAGGTTCGTTTCCCAGCACCCACATAGTGGCTACAAACTGTCCTTAACTCCAGTTCCAGCGGAATCCAAAGCCCTCTTCTAACCTCTGCAGCATTGCACGACACAGGTGCATTCACATACATGCAGGCAATACACTCATACACATGA